GCCCTCCTGCTAGTCGGTTGCGGTGCCCGTGTGGCTTCCTGATTCGTAACCTCGACTATCCGGGAAAATTAATTTTTTCCGAGATCTTCAGCCTCGGAAAACCGTGTGTTTCCTGATCTGACACGACGGCATGGCCATGAGTCCACACGAATGCACTCACGTGCACACATGGAAAGTTATGGGTTCGGGCTTTCCTGTGAATTCTACGCACGACACTTCGCTTTTCCTGCAAACGTGTTTAAGTGCTTAATTTTTCCAGGCGCTAGGAAAATATCTGGTCTCTCACATGGCCATTGAGACTCACATATCTTAAAGTAAATTTCGCACCGTACAAGAAAGCGTTAAGACGCATCGAATTGTAATATTTTATTTGCCAGTTAAACGCTCGCAGGTTACATATTGTTTTTATAACTCAGTTTACACGTGTTTTTTCGCCGTAACGAAGAATCAATCTTAGAAATACGAAGGTGGAGCGGTTGAGAGTTCACGTAAACTTTTTTAGAAAAATCGAGACGTTGATCCGAATACGCGTTTTTGACTTTCATAGCGCGTCGGGAGAGGGGTAAGCTTAGCTATTTGTGCTCACTCGTTTCTCTTTCCCATATCTAATTTTCGGTCCGGCATACAGAGCCACGAGCGATTCATTGTTGCATGGATTATTGTCCGAGTATCATATATTATTCCTTAGTAATAGAATGCTGCCATGAGGCGTACACACCTTCGAAAAGTGCCAAGCGAACTGGACTGAGAAATCAAATGATCGAAAGTACATGAATATAATTATTCAAATTAGTTGACAGAAACTACTGTCATTTACTACATGCTTTAGAAAAAAAAATTAATATTTCAATAAGAGGATCAGCATAGTTTATTTTCATTTTTAATTAGTAGTAAAAAAATAAAGGTATCACAGAATGTATGGAATTTAATTTATTCGGAAGTCCGACGAATTATTAAAAGCATTATACTGTGAAATTAATTTTCAGAACGATCGAGTAATGTTACGAAAATACATTCATTAGTAACATTTCAATCAGATATGTGAGACTATTACAATGTATCTATGCGTTTTTTTTTTTAATTTTATAATTTTAATTAATTTTATAATTTTTTTGCTATTGCTGATGTCAGAAGAAATGAATTTTCAACACCTCCCTCGCAAACTTTATAAATAAACATTTGCCAGTTGTTTTCATCTTATGTATTATATGTATTAAGGTTGTTAAATCAATGAATCTAAAGAAAATGATTTAAAATGCCTGCTTGGTTGGTTAGTGTTACATATGTGCGGTACAGTTGGTAAATGATTCGATCGCGTCATGGCCCGACGCGCGTCTCTGACGTTCGAATTTGTACAACGCAGAGGGATTACTAACTTGCTAATTGGACATTAAATCATGCCTCACTGATATTTCCAGTAACTAGTCGAGTTAATTGACAGAACCTTTGAAGAGCCAGCGAGGCTAGTTTAGTGTGCGTCGATTGTTTCCGTGGGGGGATTTACATGTGCGATGTGACTTGCAGTGGCAAATCGTACACGCGTAGACTTAGCTACGACTGTCAGCAAATTCGTACTATATGTGTTCTTCGTATTACACCAATTTATACCAGCGCAACATAGTCACTCTTTGTATTTTAATTAAATTGAAGAAGAACGATGACACATATGTATTAATTTTTTAATTTATATCCGACTGCTTTTGATTTGTTCTCTTACAATAGCGTTGCTGTCTACTTTATTCCCATGCGACGGAAAAAATATCGTGCATTCTGATTTATCACTTACACTTCATGACACTTGCAGCCATAACATAATTACGTTTTTGTCAGGCACGACATTTACACGTTGTCGTAAAAGAAAATATATCTTTATATAAATTACAGACGCAATAAAGAAAAATACGCTCAACCATCGTAAAGAAAAATGAAAAGAAATGAAAAATGTAATCTATTCCATCAAAAAGACCTTAAGTCGGGACGCGAGGAACACGTGACGCCCCCTGCAAAGATGTTCTTCGGTATAATAATGAATACGAGAAACGCGCCGGGCGCCGCTATCGCTTGGACAATAAATATACGAAAGAAAGTGCCAACCCTAAACTAAACGTATGTCTTACGTGCGGTGACGTTTTAACAACGGCCTCGCACGAACGGTCGCGGATGCTAAAACTTTATCGCGAAAAAAAATTGCTGCTCGCTGGTTCATGATGCCATTGCTCGTATTATTTTGTCGTAAGCATAACGTGTGCGGTGTGAAAAAAATGGTGATATGAAGTTTCATGTTTCCGCGAGGGTTGAATGGCTTTTATAAAGGTATGCCAGTGAGGTCAAATAAGGCCAAAGGATGTCGAATCTCGGAGAATGACAAGGAGATGCGGAAGTATTATAATACTGAAATAAGATGATGAATACTGAATAAAAAGAAAAAAAATTAGCCGTTATTTCCAATAACAGTAGGATCTTATTGGGAGCCAGCGCTCTTATTATACAATATACGCAAGATCCGGCATCCTTCCTTTACATCGCGTAATCTCGCATCAACCTACATAATCGCGTTAAATTTCAGCTTCACGGAAATTTAACGAGCTGGACCGCGAGCACACGCACGCGTAACGCTAAACTCTTAGTGCGCGCGTGAAAACTATTCCGCAAACGTCGAGGGGCATATTGAAATTTAAGCGCGCTTGCGAGAGCTTCTCGTTGCCGCGCACGCGCTTTAATTGCAGCGGTAATTACTGGTAATGGCCGCGCAAACTTACCCCCTATCCGGACCGTCGCACTCGTTTCATAAGTCCGCGATTGCAACTCTTGCGGTTAAATAGTCGCGATGTTTGCATAAAGAACGCGCGTGATTTTGCTGGTTGTTAATGTGGAAGGGCTTGCAACTTTCGGTAGTCTCTATCGGATGACGTGCTCATGGCGTTCTGTCCAAATGTTTAGCTAATATTTTCGCGTGCGCTTATGTACTGCAACTCGGTGAGCCTGGAATCACTATCCCCAAGCGCGATTTATTTAATACGCGAGGCCTGATTCTAAAGATAATTTTATAGGCTCCGAAATGAATGCCCTCTCTAAAATTTTATTTGAGTAATTGTAATTTCGAGTACACTATTTTTTTCCGTTTGTAATATTAGGTATACCTCACAATGGTAATTTAAAAACTTTTAATAAAAAATATTTCATTGTCTTTATTCGGTTGAATATTTGTAAAAGACGCGAAACTTTACTTATATCTATGCTTTAAAGATCTTTTTGGCTGTACTTGAAAGTCAAACAATAAATCAAATGGTATATATTGTAATTTTTTAGTCAAATAGCATATAACCATCTAAGGAGGAAAGAAATACAAGGATTTGGCTTTCCTTGAGCATGAAAAGTCTGCCAATCAAATTACAACTAACTTCGAAATCCTCACAGGTAGTTATAAATCATAAACTAGATGGCCTTAGAAAATATACCGTTAAATCTCATGCAGAAAAAACTATACTAAGAAAATAAAAGTTATATATGTGTCTTGATTAATGGTATTTATTTTGTTAAGAAATAATGCAAAGTACTTTGTGAATGTAACAATTACTTTTTATAGAGTATTGAAGAATATCTTATGAAATGGTCCAAACTTATTTGAATAAATCATTACAAGATATTAAATCGAGTTAGTGTTATAGCGATGTCAATAATTTTTTTCCAATTTAGGAATAAATAGATTTATTCGATAAATAGATCGAAAGAACTCAGATCAGTATGTCTACACGATTGTAAATACGCAATAAACAAAACAATAGTTTGAGAAAAAAATCAAGAAATTATAGTTTTTAATAAAGATTCGTAAAATCGTTACGTTGTATAAGGTCATAAACCATAGGTACGTCTAATTTCCAACTCATAAAATGTATTTTGGAATCAATTTATGACTTTTTCAATTACATATCAAGGCAGTAAAGTTACCACAGCGTCTCCTTACAGCAGGCAACGAATCAATTTCAAACTGATATGAATTATATTAAGTTATTGATCTGTATTCTTTCTCTTATTGCTATTTGTGGTAAGTATATGAAAATTTATAACATGATTTTCAATGTCTATAAAAGTTTGCCACATTAAAAACAGTTTTTAATTCAAGAAATTGTTGTTATCAAATTGATTGTCCGAGAGCGGCTATGATAAAGTCGATTTGCTGAACAACATTTAATAATGTATCAGTTTTGAATATTGTAAGCCTCTCAGCAACTACAGCAACTTAATTTTTTTTAATCAAATACCTTTTAGATGCTGAAGCTTAAATTGATATTGATGCAAGACTTTAACCCAGTCGTCCATGTACATAAACAGATCTTCATAATTGCACAGGGTGTCTACCTGGTTATCTTCCAATATCTTGTAATAAACGATTTGATCACGGGTAATGCATATTTATTTTACCAAAAAGCTACAATAATATTAATTCTTAGCTTCATTCTGTTAGTAAGCAATTTGAAAAGTATAATTTAACTTTGCATTTGACGCATAGTTGCAGACAATAAAAAATCTATTCAATTCATATTCGAAGTAATTTTGTTGTGCATAAGTTGCACAGTGAAAACCCACAGCCACACTGCTGATCCGTCACAGAATAGTAATACTGTCGTTACCAAGCGTACGCACAGGGTACATTGTTCATTCATCTATTTTGTCGGCTGAGCAAGTATATATAGATACGTACGGTCCAAAAAATGGAATTCGCGCTCGAAAAATCGAGTACACGATGTGCCTTCGTTTCCTATCGACTAGAGGTGTACTGCAAACGCGAGTATTTGCAAATAAAAAGGAAAAAAAAAAGAAAATAGAAGCCCAGGTGAAAATTAAAATCTCTCGCGCTGAGAGAGATAAAAATGGGTTTCGAGCTGATGGAAAAAGGAAATTACGCGGTAACGGTTTGAGTGACAGCTTGGCTGAACATCGTACCGACGGGAAATGAATTATTTGAAAAATATTTATGGAAGCGGAAAAAAAAACGTACATAAAGTTGAACCTTTATTTTCGGATATTAAAATCTTAGCTATATTTTATTTTCCATGCATCGTTTATAACAAAAGGATTACTTTCATTTACGCTTTGCCAACTTCTGACATAATAAGTGTAACTTGATAATATAGATTGCCGAATTGAATTTCTGAACTCCGTTGTTTTCAATGTTGAATCGATGTCATCTATATGGGCAACAAATCGAAAAATTCATCCTTTATCTTCTTCTTTACATTTTTCGCCATATCTAGCATCATGCTAACAAAATACAAATTCAAAATTATCTTCGTATTCGAGAGATAAACCTTTAATGATATTACCTGTCAATTCGGTCTAGTTTAGGAATTAGTTTGACTGCATCGGAAAAATCGTGCATTTCGGCAACCGGAGAATCAGGACGATCATTTGATGGAGCAGCGTTTACCTTAAATTTCATAAATAATAATCACGAATACACTTCCCATTACTTGTACATTGACATGTAAGTACATTAATATAAAAATTAGTTATACAATACCTGCACAACACTGATGACCGAAATAATAAGAAAACTTATAATAAAACCACGCAACATTTTGTAGTAAGATCTGGTCTAACTATTGCGATGCAATATTTTCCACTGCTTGTACTCGAATAAGCGCAAGGCGTTGATATCGCATATTTATAAAGTTGACCTAAAACCTGCTTGATTCAATGGCGTTTTTTTCATAATTGCGTATATGCAAAGTGATACATTTGTGAATCATGGATGCAAATTTTTGTTTAGTTGCAAAAAATTGCAATGAAATCTAATTACACGTCAGTCGTCTACGGAAAATATTGTTCTACTTTTTGCAACATTTTTTTTCAACATCGATCATTCATCCTGAGAAAAGCTTATCCTTTAACGTCGTCGTTTCATTTGGATGTGAAAATCTTTTAAAACAAAAATTATCAATTAACTCATTGTGAAGATATCGTTTGCTAATCCTCCACGAAATTCTAATTCAATTAAGTAGAATAGTTGATACCATCTTTCTTGCGCGCGCGCGTGTGTATGTGTGTGCACGCGCGCATGAATGCGTTCTCGGGCGTACGTGTGTGTGTGATCTTTTATGTAATTGATGATGCTATAAAAAATAACTAATGACTTCATCGACACCATTTTTAATTTATATTGAACAAACTACATGATTTATAAAAAATAAAACGATAAATAAAAAACGTATTTCCTGTAATTGATAATTGTTTATACGTAACTGAAGGCTAGGCTTAAGAAGACATATATTTTATTATAAATATTTTTCAGTAACAGTTATCTATTGAAGTTACCATGGAGTATGCAAAAATAGAACACATATTTAAAGCAGTAGGTGCCAAAACGTTGGTGTGGGAAAATAAAATTATCGCTGTAAAATATTTTTATTGTTTTCATATTTAATTCAAAGTGAAGTTTTATCGATATTAAGAAAAAAATCTCAAACAAATACCTACATTGTATTCAAAATGGACTTCAATGTATAATTGTTGTTTCCACTGATAAAACAAAGCAACTAACATGCACTCTCATATTTTACAAATGTAGCAATCCATCGCCATCTCTTGGTATGATACAAACTTCTGTCAGGAAGCTCTGTTTCAGTCGATTCGGTAGATTTCTATGCCGTTCGTAATCGAACTTTCAATGCAAAAACTGGCATTACTCGTTAAAATGAACTTAAACACTGATATTAATTCACGTATTTTTATTTCTTTTTCAGGTGTACATTTTTTCTACAGGGGATGTTGAACGAAAATTGATAAAACTGTTAATGTTCCTATTTCAGCCAATCTGTATAAAAAAAAGTTCCAGAAGATATAAAATAAAGAATAATCAACAGTTTAATCGTAAATAATTACATTTATTCATTTGTCAATTTTACAGTGTAACAGTATGATACGCTTTATTAAAGAATAATTTTTCTCTTTCAACGCGTATCATTTCTAATTAAGGCGATTAGTATGTAAGTGGTTTTTTTGTGAGAATATATAGTGGGCATAATTTATTGATCATGACGCTTTCTTTGATTCGATCATTAACAGGCAAACGTTCAATACATCGAGAGAAAAAATACAGCGATATTTTCCTTTGTTGATGCTTGCTCTATCACCATGTATCCACTAGCTTTGTTTTTTGCTTTTTTTAAAGTATTCTTTACATTTCGCAATAAGTGCCATAAATAGTGTAGCATTACATCTAAAATTATGCGCAAAAGTATTAGTTTTCTTTCTTTGTTTGATTTGTAGATGACATCCACTACATTGCGAATATCGTAAGGCCACGATTATTTAGAACTTCTTCAGAGTTGCTGTTTTTCTTTTGTCGATCTTTATCGTAGAAATGCTTCACTTATATAATAAAAGCAAGCGATAATTAAAAAAAACCACAATAAGATAAAAATTTTTTATATATTTACTCTCTCATTATTTTCTTTCCTCCCTGAATAAATTAATTCAATCACACGCTGGTCATCGATGTTAATCCACTTAATACGTAAATAGTATTATTCTTTCTTTTTAAACGAATTGATGTTGGCTTACACTGTGTTACACGTTAGACTCGAATAAAAATAAAACGACTCTATACACGTAAGATTTGTTTAGATACACAGTTTGCAAGCTTTTTAGTTGTTCTATCTTGAACCCACCTCTGACAAATAACAGTTTGGCTGTCTTCACTTGTTCTACATTTCTACATTAATGTATACAAAGCGAAAGAAAAAACAATAACATCAATAATGATTAACATCGCGACGGCACCTGTTATATGTATATATGTATATATACTTTAGTAATTTATTTTGTTTTTCTTTATCTCTTTAAGTATTCGTTCGATCTGGAGTTTTACAATCTTTAAAGAACTGCACTAATAGTAACAGCCAAGAAAAGATAACTTTGCTCTTAAATATTTTTACCGCAGAACAAGGCAATTTCGTTTGAACGTAATCTCGAGTCCTCGCCATGAAAGAAAAAAAAAATTATTTCATTGTGTCTCGCGTCTCGACGATACTGCACTAGATGATAAACACAATTATTATAAAATATCTCATTTGCAAAGTTGTACATTTACAAAATATATTCATTTATTTCGTGTAGTATCGGCGAAACAAAAGCCTCGAATAATTAATCAATGAACTCGAAAAGTCACTCGACAAAAAAGCAAAAGAATTCCAAGAGAATCCTAGTCGACGTGTACGAAAAAGGAGAACTGTCGCTTCGATTGGGCTTCAACCTTAAAAATTCAAGCAAACGTTTAGACTAGTTTTTCCACACTTTTTGTAAATCTATACGATTATATACCGTCGTAATAAAATCAGGTAAGATTCTATATTCGTGAAGGTGTACCATACAAACGAGTATATTGTTCATACTCACTGCGATGATTCACCTAGAACCTCACATTTAATTGAAAACCCAATCAAAGATAGCTTCTTTCGAAAAACAAAATTCTTCATTCGTCGCAGATTCCAAATGACTTGAAATCCGCGTCGAAGCAGAGCACGAGGACTCCCGCACTCGCAATAATCGCCTTGTTCTTCACTTTCTTCTATTCATCGAAGGTATGTATATTTATATTTTTCTGGTGGTTTTTGAGGTGGAGGGGGGGGATGGAAGTGCCCGAAAGCACACCTTACGAGAGCTTTTGTTTAGCGCACTCGGGACAGATGATGTCCTCGCCGTCGGTGATGAAACCGCGTCCGACCATCGATGAATTGCAGCCTGCGCAGATGAAGCAGTCGTTGTGCCAATGCCTGTCCTCGAACGAGATGAAGCGCGTACCACCGATACCTTCGGAAAGCAAGCGAGTTGAACGTAACAGTGACGAGAAGCGAGCAGAAAAGGAGGATCCAACGACTTACCGGTGATCGGTTTTGAGCAAGCGGTACACCTCTTGGCGAAAAGTTCGCCGAAGCAGTCGGCGCAGTATGGCTTGTCGTCGCGGGACGTGAATCTTTGCCCAGCGAGCGATTGATCGCAGTGGGTGCAGGTGAAGCAATCCCTGTGCCATGGTTCGTTCTTGTACGTCACACCTGCGGTTGTGATGATCTGCAACGAATATCATTTGGTTATATGCCCGTGATTTTCCAGCGTTCTCAAGCTGCTTACCTTGTTGCACTTGACGCATCGAGTTGAGAATTTGTCTTCGTAACATCCGGCACAGTAGATTTCCTGCTCGCGTGGGATGAAGCTCTTGGTACCAATTGGACTCTTGCAGACTACGCAGCAGAAACACTTCTCGTGCCACTGTCTTGTCTTGTATTCCATCTTCTTGGTGCCTAAACAACGAAAACCCATTCATTCGAATAGACTAATATCGTGCGCTTTATGAGATTTTATTTCTTGTTTTTCGTCGGAGCCTTTTTGTTTGCCTCGTTAAAGAATCTCTACAAACGAATTCAGAACTCGTGCTTTGCGCGCGTATACTCAACTCGCGCGTATAACCGCGAACCTTATACTCACCTATAAAGTTTGTGTATTTCATTAACAGGCGCGAGGAAACGCAATTCTCCCTGGATTAATTTGGCAAAGAGAAACAGAGCAACGCATGCCGAGTCAGTGAAAAGGCGCCTAACGAGCTGCACGCTGATTTGCACCTCGTACGCGTGACATGACGCCTTTTCACATAACTGTGTACGCATGCGAGAAAGTCGATATTGTCAAGGATATGTCACAATTGGGCTTGTCGATGACTTTAGTCGAGAATACAGGGGAAACGATGCTTACATACTCGTACACACACACACCTCGGGACTGAAAATAAATTTAAGTTTTGATAACGAGGTAACGACAATTGTATGTTGTTCTCGTGTTTCGTTTTTTTCATTCGAAAACCAGTTGTGCCTTACGTGTATAATTGAGCCTTTCGGCATGAAACGCGATTCGCAAAAGTCCGTACAAGTTAACACCGTTATCGCGCTTCTAGGTGAGCATAATTTCTTTTGGTTTGTTCAGAGTAAAATGCATATAACGCGCACATTATACGCTCATCTGTGTACTTAACAAGGTGACGATCATCGCAAGGTAAACATTACCTTTTGTTCGGTAAGCACACGTACGACGGCAATCGATCACAAATGCCAGATTCGTGGTCAGCTTTAACACCAGAATTCAAGAATCAAAAAAAAATTACGCATCAATCTGAGTTTGACGAAGATTATTATGCAAATCATTTTGTAAATGTAACGAAAACAGGTGCTACCAAATCAGATCGATCATCGATTTCCTTTTTCGCATTTTGAGAGAACTGCATTGATTATTCATTCAGTGTCACGTGTCGTTATTTTATTAGATATCGGTTGCCGCGATTATTTATGAAGAGTAAAGATTAATGATATTGCACATCGTTTATAATGTTGTCACGGGCTTCCTCGCTGCAAAAGCTTTATATTTTATGCAATCTGCGTAGTATTTGTTTTTGTTATGGCGCTAGATTGCAATACCTCAAAATAGAACCTTTATCGCGAAACGTTTAGGACGGAAAGTCAGCTATTAATGCGTTAACATTCGTAAACTACAGGTCCTGTCACGTTAGGAAATTTTTCTGTTTTTATCGTCGGAGTGTCTACACCTATATCATCGTTGAAACAACGATAATTTCATTGTCCCATCGTAAAGGCGAATCTGATTAACCTGAATATTCCCGAAAGAGCCGTAAAATAATCGATGTTAAAGTAGATCTTTTTTTTCTTTGAAAATGTCCTTGAGGATAATAACACGACCTCTCACCTCTGTCAAACATACGAAAGAACGCTAATGAGGCACGTCATCGTTAATAGCTAAATTGGTTGCATGGTTTTGTTTGCGCGCTTTGCTGAATTACGAATTTTTACACAGTGATTATAAAACAGCCTTTTTTTACGACAAATGTGCTATTATAGTATGATTTGCAGAAACGTGTCTATGACAGTCAATAAGTGTTACATTGTACTATGTCATCCTGAAGAAAGACTCAATGACTCAGGGTCATTTTTATTGTCTTTCTCGAAGAAATGAAGCTCGTATTTACTAGCTAAACGTGATTTTTGCTTCACTTTAATATGTATAATCGCATTGTACGCAATTTAATGACTTACCCGGTAACATATAAACTTTCATTGATTCAAATAGTTACACGCAAATTTTCATTTCACGAGTGCACACATGATTCACAAGTCTGCGTGGATGTTTTCGACTATTTCTTCTTTTTGTTTTTCACTCAAATTGTCCTATCTTGCAAAAAAGACGTGATCGATGTTTGTTTCTCCGATGGGCAAAATAAGAAACGCGGAAGAGAGATGCGGCATCGCGAGTGTTATAAGAAGCGATGATCTAAGTATATCCTTATGCGGTTCAACGTCGAATTTTTGGGATGTAATTGAGGCGCACATTCGGAATTTGAATTGGAATTTCTGGTTTTCGTTTGGCGGTTTACTAAGATGACGTCGATTAAAATATGTCCGCCAATCGACTTTATTATATAACTAAAAGTCGATTGCAAAATTACTTTTAGTATATAGAACTGTGAATAAACCTTCGGGCAATAAAAAAAATCAAGTATCATATGATGAAGAAAGTAATCAAATCAGATCGAAATATTTTGGTATGCCAATAAATTAGAGGATTGCTTGAAAGACGCAAATATGACATCAATTGGACGTGCATCCGAATAAACTATGTTAAAAAGAAAGGCATTAATCCTCAAGCTTTGCTTTCTTGTAGATCAACAAAATCAAGAATTCAAGATGAAACGCAGTCGTTGTGAACTTGACACTTGTAAGTACGATCATCTGAGAAAATGTTCGCTTTAAAAATGACGAATTTTCCATAGTTGCAGCGCATATATGACTCAAAAAGAAAATGAAAAAGAAAGAGTATATAACGCAACAATGACGTCATTAGAGGCCCAAAGCCACTCCGTATAAGTATGTATACGAAGCTCCAAGGCCTTTTACTTTAAGCCGCAACGATGTGGCAACAACATTCATCGGACGACTACTCTCGCGTGTACTGCACTTGTCGCATTAGCCGACCGGGTTGACATCGATTGTCGAATTTTATAGAAAGGAAAATTACTCAACAATGTTATTGAGTAATTTATTAGCGATCAATCTGTAATTCAAATGTGCGAGAATTAAAGTAAAAATACGAAAAGCACTTTACTATCTAACACGAAGATGTTACTTTAGTATGAATCAGACATTGGAAGTTTAGATTTACATAAGTGACAACGACTGCGGGCGTGTTGAAAGTTATTATAACATAACAGACATTTGATTTTTTGCAAAGCCTGCGAAAAATTCAATTAAGACTTTACCGTGCAAAAAAAACGAGAGAGTGAGAGAGAATGCGAGAGAGAGAGAGAGAGAGAGAGAGCAAAAGCCTCGTATACTATTCCAAGCGTTCCTGGGAAAGCGGCAGCTCTCTTTGAGTCAAGTCTAAATATATAATCCGAAAGCTGCTGTGCGTAATACATTACTCGTATATCAAGGATAAAGAAATGATCAAAGAGCGAAATAAAAGGAACATCACTGACGCGAGAGTGGCACTTTAAAAAAGTACGCGCAAACCTTATCGCTCGCAATAAAATTTCAGCGACAACATGTTTGGTAATACGCGCGTAAAGCCGCTTCCTTATTAAACGTGCCATAACTTCACGTCCTACTAATATGCTGAGCGTCAGCGATAGAACGATGAGTTATCATCTTGACCGTAACAATACACATCCATCTTTTTTCTACTTCTCACTGCGAAGCTATAGACTTAATTAAGTAAAGTCTCGTTGTGTGCGTTTCTCCCGAGAGTATCATTTTTTCTACTTAGCCGAGCATGTGTAATTGTACAGTTTGTCACGGAAGGCTCAGTTATGGTATATTCATTGCTTGGTGGTGAGAACAAACTCATCATGCATCGATACGTTTAATTTCTATTAGCCAGTTACTTTACAGAAAACATTTCTTGCGCAGTTGATTAAACGAAGTGCAAAAGATTAAACTTCAAGCCCTCCTTGATGAATTTATGGACGCAAACGCGACCGTGATCGTAAAAAAAGGAAAGTAACTAACCTTCGTAGCTTGTTTACCTAAGGAGTGTGTTTTGTACGCCCTTTTTCTAAACGTTTCGTTTGTTTTTTTTCCAGTGGAAAATTTCAAGTTTCAGCATTGATTAATGCTGCAATTAGCTAACGCAATCATAGAATTTCGCTGATGGATTGGCAGGTTGATATTGATTTTCCGCTTGTCGCGCGCGCGTTTGCGCAAAAAACAAAAAAAAAAAAATTCGACGCGATAATTGAGTTAGCACTCGATGCGCGCGCGAAGTTTAACGACGCGAAACCGGAATACAGTGTTGGTCGCATGTGTCAAATGGGGAAAAGAAGAGAGAAGTCGCAGCGTATTAGAAATCGATCGAATCGCTCTCGATGGCGTATCGGCAAGCAAACAAAACAAGAGAGATCACCTGGCTCAGCGCGTCTAGCGTCGCCCATCAAGCAATAGATGCCGAGACAGCAGCGAAAAGTCGGATCACCGCCCAGCGGAATCATGCTAAAGATGGCAATATCCTCGTTTCTCTCGCGGGCACGGCGGATACGCTCTTCACCGACGGTTTTCGTGTGCAAATGCAATCGATTTGCCAGACGGTCACTCAACGCGTCGGTAGCCATACTCGTGGCCGTTAATCGTCTTGGTGGCGGCGGTACGTATGCCCACTTGCGTACTACCCTCGGTGAACGTAGATCACGCAAACTTGTTACGCTGGATGTCGGTTCCTCGTTCCAATAGTAATAACGTGGCCAATGGATAGCACGTCGCCAATAACCCGGTCTGTAGTTTGGTAGTAGGGTCGACATGGTCGTTGAATCGGAGGTGGATCTGTAAAGCTCGCACGGATTTGGAGTTTTCAACTGCCGCGCCCTTTTTACTTTTCGAAGGTTTCTAACTGTTGACGCGAGGGTTGACAAGTTATTAGCGGCTGTGATATGGTGTTCGTTCGTCAATCATATCTGCGCTTTGTTTCTTTACATGATTTCACGGGATTAGGATTCTTTTGTACAGCATTATTCAACTGCTTGATTATTTACAAGTATTATATTTTATGATAAAGAAAGGATGATTCTTTTTAAATGAATTATACATTTTTTTTCGCTTGAGTATGCAAAAATGAAAAAATAATTGCTTGAAAAATACTGTTTGTTTTTTTTTACCATGGTTTTCAACATCTATTATTGAATACAAATAAAGTTAATTCAAAGCTATCAATTATATTCACGTGAAAAGATGGCACTGCAAACAAATGTCAAGTGATGATAAAAAAATACGAACGTTGTCAGAAAAATGACGAGTTACGTGAATGGTGAGACAAATAACTTGTGAATCTTTTTCAGAAGAGTTACAGTGACAGTCGGGTGCGAGAATGAATAACAGATTGTTCGAGCAAAGGTGGCATAGCCAGGCTAATAAAACCGTCGCGTACAACAATCATGTTTATCCATCTCGTCGTACAGTCACTCGTAACGAACAATTGCCTTCAGACGCCAACGAAAACAAATTGTCGTGAGAAACATGAAAATGATTTGATGTTGAAAACAGCAAGGTAAGCGTCAACAATTAAAAACTCGAAAGGTTGGCGGCGACTAAGGGTGAGAACGAGAAACTACGAAAGCGTTCGTGCCTACAACGCCGCCGAGGTAAAACACTGCGTGTATGCGCGATTAGCCAGAAGGCTTGAGACTGACTGAGGCTTATGTTTCTGGAGAAGTAGAGAGACGATAAACTTTGCTGCTGCAGAGGAGCGGTTGGTCACGTGGCTTTCAGAGCGAAAGAGAGGAGGCATGTAAACGCCATTGTCCGCGCATACGCATGATTCCCCCCTTTTCTTTATGGTGCGAGTTGCCGCTTTTGCAAGTATAGCTTCGTGCGCCCGTCGTCGAACTGGTTTATGTGCTTTTTATTTTGGGGGAGAAAGTTTCACTGCTACGTAGCTTTGTAGGTCAAGTGGCTTTTGAAGTTTATATTCGTTGATCGGTCGTGACGATATCATTGTTCTACAACATTTTTTTAACAGCTCGATGAAACTTAATTTCGGATCGTGTATCAGTTTACTTAATAAAATCAAGTGTAACAGCATTTCATGAAGAAATTTTAAAGTCCGTCGATTGATGCTTTCATGGCTTTGGTAGCCGGTAACTTTACAAAGCGTTCGATTTGTTCTTCACCCTGGCGTCAATTTGCCAAGCAACCAGTGTCACTGAAACCCTATCACGCTTAAAAAACCAAGTTCAGGTAAAGCCACGTACGAAATCGCTTTTTCTAAAAATACACAATGGTTATATCATTTTGTATAATTAACATGCAAAACATTTAGCTTTGACAAAGTCACGACAACAATGTTTGCCATGTGTACACTTAACTATGTTATACCTATGCTGCTGTCGTATGCGGAAGTAGTTCACACGTACGTGGGTAAGAAATGGTCTATCAGCTATATAACGGATTCAGCTTTTTTGAGATTTTTTTCTTCTAGTAACGCTGTAATATTATTTTATTTTATGATCACCAATGACTTCTAAAATGATTCAGGCCATTATCACGAAAACTGCAAAATTTTAGTTACATGTTTTCGAATTAATTTAAAATTTACTAAAAGACAATGTTAATTTACGAATTCTGAAAAGAAACGAAAATCGCGTGATCAAAACAACAATTTTATTACGTATAAAAATTTAAGTAAATTTCTTCGAAAGTGTTCAAACACAATTACTAATATAAATAATCTCAGTTCATCCACCGAGCTGCTCATCGTGAAATTATTTTTAGCGAGTGGAGTTACGGCTAATACAATATTTTGGTAGCTATGAAAATGTTTCAGCCATCAATCTCCATTGAGAAAACCAGAAAAAAATCTATCAAAAATATTACATATTAAAAATGTTCAATCTTTGCAAAAGCTCACGCAAAGATAAATCATTCAATTCGTGAGTCATCGTATAAATAAACGTCATTCTATATAGATTTTGTGCGGTGCACGGAAAACCAAAAAGTTATTCGTTATAGACACACCTATTATGTGACACGAGTAATTTCGCAAACAACGTTATTATGAAAAATTACGTGATGCTTTGTTTTGTCCCGAAGACTTTATGGCTTCATTATTCACCTTCCTGGTATTTTGGCTGATACTTTTATATTTCTACATACTCCGTAAATAAATATTGTGAATTGAAAAATATTGGCTATCGATAACTTGCGAAGGCAAAAGAAAAATCGTAAATCATTGACTGTTTTCGACGTACAAGCATTCTTGAACTATCGATTTTCTAACATACGTCACTACTTTTTGAAAACACACAAGCGAAACCGTAAACCTATAAAACTACTGCTTCATGTGCCATAAGAACCGGTGTACTCTCACAGTTTCCGAAACTCATATTCATCGCCTTGAAAAACAAGAAATCTCGATAATAATATCCAAACTGACGGTTCGTTGGAGAATTTTTAAAAAGTGAGAGCTGATAGAAACACGTGTGATTCATTCGAACTCGATGATGTAGTATATGCGTGTACAAGACACGCAGTCTACGTTCTCAAGACACGTATAACATTGAAAGACACATTTGGACATGCAGAACATACTGTCAAAGTACTCGTGGTAGGTGTGTTTTGCGAAAATGTTGCGCAATTGTAATTATTTTTAAGTGACAAAAAGACAATTATTCAGCGGCCGTTTTCGTATATTAGCCACGCCAAAACTCACGATTTTAATTGCCACGAGCCAATTTGAATCGAGAATGCGCGTTTCCGCGTAGAATTACATCAAAAAACATTTTGATCCGATTAATTAGATGCTGGAAATTAGGGATGTGATAAATCAGTGCTGTTTGATGAAAAATGCATCGGCTCGCGAATTCTTAATTATTTCCTCAAGCGCCCACGCGTCGTTGCGTAATATAATCGTCAAAGCATATCATTATTTATTGCAATAAGGTTTGTTTGGTGTTGTAATTAAAACAAATATTTTGAAGAATATAACTTAATAGCCTTAACAGTTGTCAAAAGTTTCCGTTTGCAGAAAATGAATTGGAGTGTCAGTTATATGTTTGTTATTGACTGATAATGCAGCGCAAATAATGAGACACCTTGCGGGCAATCACGAAACCAAGTAGATCGTCAAAAAAATCATGTACGCCTACGACTCATGGTAAGCTTTGGCGTTTCGATAACAACTATACTCATCGATGCAATCATTGAAATGACGCTTAGCGGTTATCGAGGCGGCTTGCGAACTCGCGTGGACTTTTGGCGATCGGCAGATCGCCGAACGCCTCGTGTCCTCACGTCCGGGTCCTTGACTCGTTTAACCTTAACGAGTGGAGCCGAATAATACGAGCTTACATACAAAGTTGGTCCCCCGGGCCCTGGCTGTGCCGTGAATCACGTTTAAAAGTCAAATTCGCGCTCGATCGTATGAGTAATGAGCTAGATTAATTGCTACGTGATCGGATTTGACATTGCGCGATATATTGTATGTATATGTAAGGCTGATTTCACCACGTCGCGCTTTGCATTTCCCGAGGCAAACATAAGAGGCGTATTTTTGATTTTGGATGTGAGTTGCGCTTGAGATTTTGCACGTACCAGCGCGGAAGATTTCGCCGCATCCGTCGCAACGGCTAGCGAACTGAGAATCATAGCAGTTACCGCAGTAAATCTTGTCTACCTTGCTGCCAAACTGTTTGTCCACCAAGGACACTCTGCATCTGCTGCAGAGGAAGCAAGCCTCGTGCCAGTGCTTGTCCTTGTACGACAGATCCTGTGGAATACCAACAACAAAATCAATATCTTACGTGCCCGATACGTCTCTGTTGACATTCGCCACATTTGGTTCTCGCCGAAAAATCTGAACTTTAAGCTCTAGGCTAGTTTTTTGTGCATTTCGAACAGATAAGAGTTTCATTGAGATTACAAATGCTTTAATAAATGGAAGAAAAATTACCCACTACGTACTCTTTACATTTCAAATATTAACGTCTAGTCTATACAATCCAAATAAAGATAGGCATTATAATGCAGCTGCTATACGATTTGCTTTTTAAAATTTTCCCATTAAATATTAACCACTAGATTCAAAAAGTCCATGTTATTGTGCGCGCTTAGCATCTCATAAAGCGTCATGTAAAACATGACCGTGTCGCAACATAAACTCTCAAAAAAACAACAGCACCAAGGAAATAATCATTCCAGCACGACTAATAATAATATTCCGAGGCAAAGAAGACGAGCGCACGTTCGCAAAGTTATTTCTAGGAATGAGCAGGTCGACGGTCACATCCTTACAAGCTCATGTTGCCATACGAAAATTTTCTCGCTCTGATTTCACAACCCTCATAATAATTCAGAAGCAATTCTCGTACACTTTTCAAAAATACCACTTTCACGGATCTCAACTGAGATAAAACAAAAAATAAATAAATAAATAAATAAAAATGAAATTTTCTCACACGCATGAATTCAACAGCGTGAGAGATCCTTTAAATGTGCAAAACGCGAGAGATGCAAGCGAGCGCGCTTACTGGATATGATACGTGTGCGTGCGAGATGTTGCACCAGAATAGTCGTTTAAGCTATTCTTGGATGGCGGTAATCTGAGCTGCTTTACCAGTCGACGGGAATTGGTTAAAGCTCGTCGCGGCGGTGCTTTATAATACCTCGAAAGTTCGACGTGGTCCCGCGGATAGAACGACAATAAACGATCGCTCGACGGGCACAGCTGCTTTCCCGCTTGGGCATTAGGAATTCCGTTTGTTTGCCGAGCCAGTTTGAACGATCTATTTACCTTGGAGTCGATGCCGATGATTTTGTGGCACTCCTCGCAGCCATTAGCGAAGACGCTTTCGTAGCATTTGATGCAGTAAGGATGCTCGTCTCTCAGGACATATCGCTGACCTGTCAACGACTCGTCGCACTGCCAGCAGCAGAAGTGGCTGCTGTGCCAGTCCTTGTTCATCGCCTTCGTGTAATCTCCACTGAAAATTAACTAAAAGAGAGAACAAGAAAATCAGTATCTCATTTTTTGATGATTTAATTGTGAGCTCGTTTCATTCCGTACGACGAGTAACGTATGACGATGATTTTTTTTTCCAATCAAGTCACTTTCATGAATTTTTTTGACTGTAGATAACAAACGTCGATTCGTCGCGTCGCCTGTGAATGTAATTTCGAAGAGTGCTCTATTCGAAAATTGGAAAATAAAATACGAAGGTATTGCGATATTTTTTGTGCCAAAAAGGTTTGGGCGGGACAAGTTCGAAAACATATTGTCTTATTTTAGATAAAGTACATACTGGTTACCAGTGTTTCTATCACCCGCTAAAATTAAATTGCCGTCTATTTTTAATGCGCATTCCGTCAGGTTATACAAACTTTTATGCAATATGAAACTCTTTGATCTTTGATTGTTAATTCATTCAAATTTCAACTTTACGTTCAGATGTTTCGAATTTTTTTAATAAACGAATCCAAATAAGATGTTTTTTTTGTCGCGAAAGTGACGAACATACTTATAATGCAACCAATCGACGAATACAGTTTAAGTAATTTATTGCGATGACTGGTTTGTCTTGGAGATATGTACCTTGGTTGAGTGCTGTTGTATGTGCTGGCTGAGCATGTCTTTTCATGTATGAAAAGAGTATTTCGAGCGAACAAGTTTTCGTGCGAATCATTTGAGTTTAATGTTAACATGCTCATGTGATAAGAGGAGAAAACTATTTTTGGGAACTAGCTAAGAAAAAAATCGATCTCTTTTACACCGCCTCCGACATTTGATAGCTCAAGTTTGCAAGTGCATGAAAATGTTTTTGAACGCTTGTAGTCATGCTATTTCGACAAAGAAAGTTTTTCGCGTGCCGAACGAAATTATGGAAGAATCATTAATTTTTTTTTAATTTTTAGATGTAATGGTAATGACGAGGGCATAGACACACGAGGATGTTAGGTTGGGTCAGAAATCACACATGGGTCAGAAATTGGAATCATGAAAAAAATTTGCGCAAATTTTGAATATTTATTTCAATATGATTACTGAAATTTTAATCATTTGGAATCATAAAAATCTAGGGAAAATATACGATATTTGTAATGAAACAGAAATGAATTTTTGGATGCAAAGACACGTCTAAAAGTGACAATGATAAAAAGAAGTATTCTGTTAGCAAATGCGCCATGTAGCCCATATTTCTCGTTCAATGAAGCAAAATATCACCTCGTATATCCAGATAGCTATTTGCTCCAACGATTTCAACAATACATCCTTCACGTCTCTAAAAGAAAATACCTGCTATGGCGTGAAAAAAAAGCGCGCGAGCAAATTGAAAATTTGTCGGCGAACGCCCGGCGAAAGAGAGATCGTGTGTAATATTTTCCATCTTCGATCAAGAAAACGAAGTAAAAAGGGTGGGGGATTATTGTGGCGCTCCAGCCAGCACATACTCTTCGATGGCAGGTTGGTGCTGGCTGTTGTCGACCTCGGTGATCGTGACCTCGGCATTCTGATCGCGGCTCTCGCGGCGCTGCTTCGTTGTCTTCTTAACTTTGCGCGTTTTGCGCTCGGTTGTCGTGTACACTACACTGTTGTCTACTTCGGCCATGTTAGTCCGGCTTTCTTCTCTTTTTGAATGTCGGAAAAAGAAAAGATATACTTTGTCCGATCGACAAATGACAAAATAACAAACTTAAAAAAAAAAAAGAAATTTGTCAAGAGAAATGCGTGTACTGCTCGGACGAGAGTTGCCAAGTGACTGAAATCTCGAGTGCTGCCGGCCAGGGCGTCATCATATCGTACGCGCCCCTCGTATGCTATTTTCGGATCCAACTCCAGAGAAACTCTCTTTCTCTCTCTCTCTTTCGCGCGAGAGAGCGTGCCGGGTGCAACTTTTCTATCCACGAGCGCGCGCGAACTGACTCGGGCAATTTTCCGTGGGTGCAAGCTATGCTTTTTCAATGATCATTCCTCCCGCGTCATTCTGACCTTCGCATACATACACACACAAACACATACACATGCTTCAGATTTTTAAACGGGAATTATGGTAAGCGATGATGAAAGTGTTTAGAATAGTTTATAAATTCTGAGCTTTTTTCATGTGGCAAGCTTGCAGAGTTTTTTCGGTGCTTTTTCATTTTAATTGCTGTATAGTCAGATGCCTTTATATTTATTCATAGAAACTCTCACTAAAAAGGTTTTTTTTCGAAATCACGTTTTGAAATATTTGCGAAGAACGGTGGCACAGTTTACGAGTGAAAGGTGGAAGGAAAAGCTTTTTGACTTTTGTTTTGATGGAACAGGCTTTTACTCCGACAAAAAGAAAAAATTCAATTCGAAATCATTGAAAATAAATTACATACATTTTCTGAATAATGAATTGAGTAAGAACATATTGATTATTGTTACCTGTATTAAATAGCGATGACGAATTTTCATATTAAAAATAGAAAATACGAGTAGTAGAATGTTATAATGAAAAAACATCAAGCGCACAATTTTTTGGCGTAACGAATCAAGATCATTAAAGATCTTTTTGGTCACGCTCAAAACAACGGGAAAAACACAATCTGTTTGTTAAAAAACGTTCAAAAATACCCGAAATAGCTGTGACATACAACATACAATGATTAATAATTGACAGAAGCAAGCCATGTAAGCAGTCTAGTTTTGTGAAAATAATTAACTCATATGCCAAAAATATACGTGTTGTTTTTTCCGGCGTCTTCGTATAAAACAGATAAATTTTTAAGTATTAGAAGAATTTCTTAGTTCTATGTCGTCAGCCAATGTCGCTTGCTGACTCAGCCATCGCGCAGAGAAGTGTCGGGTGCAACTTTTCGACAACTTTTCCGCGAGAGAGTGAGAAAGCTTTTTGATTCGTCGTGGATATTTTCAGACGCGATTGAATAATACATGAGACACAAATTTATTAATGCCGGTTGAGTGGGCACTTGTAATAAGATGTCTAACCCAGACCGAAGATAGATAATGCAGACCTGGATTTTAGGGCAAAAAATGAAAAAACAATCGCACGTGTAATAAAAAAAATTAATATTACTTCATGAGAAATAGAATACAAGTTAACAAAGTTTAATCAGATAGTGACTCTAAATTACTGAAAATTGTAATGTCTCATTAAATGTCGTTTGAAATGTTACAAGACTTCATGAATTATTAGGCTATTCGATACTTTTAGCCAAATGACAAAATGGTATTCGGTGAATTTGAGCTAACAAGTAGTGTCGCGTGCAACGCCAACTGATTTACAACAACTTCGGCTTCCCTTCGAAATCTTACAAATTTTTGCCAATTTCATATTTCAAATTAGATAGCAATCATTCAACAATAACAAACGCAACAATAATATACTTTAATTGGTATGGATTAAGACATTTTTCTGATGGTAGAAGAGTAATTGATACTTGAATTGTAAATTGCATTTTAATGATAAATTTTAATGTTACATCGTCAGAGTGCACTACAATAAATTCCAATCCATTTTACGATATCATCGTAGAAAGAATTAAAATAGATGTCACTACATTGCAGTCGCTCCAAATTGACAAATTGTATCGTATTACATGTGTCCGCGATTCGAAATAAAAAAAAATGTGAAGTAAGAAAAGTGTCGATCGGCTTAATCGCCGTTCTCTTTTATTTTTCTGCTCTTCGGCGCATGCGACGATCCACACGCCGAATTTGACTTGGTGCCAAGCAGGTGGTTCTTCTTCTCGCGGCAGTGGTGGCACGAAAGAAAAATAGATCGGGCCTGGGAGAGAGTGTAGAGGTAATTGGGTCGGAATGTTCCACGCATCACCAATGATCCCACCATCGAGCGATGGAAAAATTGTAAGTTCACGATACATACGACCCTTAGATGGAGAGAATTTTTAAATGATGAATAATCCTGTTACGTGTGCTTTCGTAATGAACGATGTCGCGCAAGAGTCCGCTTTTTTCTTTCATCTACGATGATTCACAAAACTAATTTTATGTGAAATTTTATTTACTATATTATACAATTCACTGTACTGCAACTGCATTTTTTATTATTGATTAATATCAGTTCCGGATCAACAGTGGTATGGCTCATTGACAAATTTAATTCAAGGCAATGAGTTTTTTTGAAAATCATTTGACCCTGGCTTAGGTGCAAGTGATATCTCAGCTGCCAAGGAATCAATGGCTTTTACAAATTATCATTGAACAATTTAATTGCTTCATTTAAAGCAAAATAAATATCCAAAAAGCAGATTTGAAAACATGTTCTAAATTTGAATTTTAACAGGTTGATTGTTACAAATGACAATCGGCTGATTGATGGTCTACGCCTAGGGCTAGTCCAATGTTATAATGTGTTTAGTCTGATATTTCTTACTAAAGATATTCTCGGAAAATGTTTGTAATATTTTTAAAAACAGTTTTTAATGCTGAAATTAGTTGCTCAACTATTTTCGTAGCGGATTGATAAAATTAGAATGAATATTACATCTATATTTAAAGTGATAATTTAGAAGAACGATATCCATACATCCATCCATATGTTCTACAAAATCAAATAACTTGAAGTTGAAATATAAAATTTTACAGAATTAAAAATTATGTCCACTGACTACACTAGTTACGAACAATTCGCGACAGCATTAATTAAAATTTTAAATTACGCTATTGTCAATCCCCTGATTAACTTTCCATGACTTATTAAAAATTTACAAATCTGCTTCGAGCTAAATGTCACGTTATTACACTTCTACATTACCGAAGTGCCTATCCGAAAAAGCTCTGCATACCCATCTCACAAACAAGGAGAAAAAATATTTCGCTATTCAAATCCCTCAGTATTCATCATCTCATAGCTGCTTTGAAAGACCAAAAAAATACCACGTCAGACAAAGAATTTTTTGCCTGCATCGTCAAACCAGTGTATGTGCTTAGGAAAAAAAACCGAAATTCGGGACGAGCGCACGTCTGTGTCGCGGCCTACGCAACTC